GACTGGGAAAAGATTGGCTTGGAAAACCTTGTATATAATTACAGTATACTACAGTAACTCAAGATCGTGCTGGCCTACCCGATGTTTTGAGTATTCATGTTGTCCTTCTTGATAGGATACAATGTGTTCTCTGAAACGGTGCGAGTCACAGTGCCTTTGATGGTCTTTCATGGTGATCCAATTGGCACATCATGTGCGTCATTCTGCTGGGAAAAGAATCATGAGAAGGGGAAGAATATGGAAGAATGAAATCCCAAGGCGATGGACATTGATTGTCCTTCACCAGCCAGTCATGAACCCGGATCAATTCATTCAAAGCCCCTCCTGTGATGCAGTCAACGTTTGGACCTTGACAGCCTTGCTAGCTGCTACCTTGTCCGGATCGAATGATGTGTTTTTTCCAGACGAGCCTGTGGTTCGGGAGAAACTGGTCAGGAAAGAATCGCTCTGCTGGCCCACCAAGCTTTGCCACTCCTGGTCAGTTGTAATAGCTTAAGGCTTAGGGTGCTTGTATGCCTTGATCTCTGCCTTGGGCTACGCTACCTCTCTGGAATTATATAGATCTCCTTTGACTTTTCAGCCATCACATGTGACGCGCTTGGTCGGGCCTGCCGTGGACCTGTTCCCTCTGCAAAGACACAAAACGAGCAAGCTAAAGCTTGCGCGAACCGGCCTTATTCTCAGCGGCCATGTCCAACCTTAACATTCTAGCTCTAGCTTTCGTGGCGTGCTAGTCTTGGAAAGTGGCAAATTGACCAGACCTGCCTTGCAAGTGCCACACCCGGCTCTGGGTTCAACAAGCTTTGGGGCTTTGGGGTGCCTTTCCATTCTTATGACACCTCCTAGGAAGGCACCCCACCCCTCCCTCTTCGTGCTCCTCTTCCAAGCTCTGGTGCTCAGCGGTGAGGCGAAGGAAGTCCAACTTCAAGGACCTCGCCCCGCTTCAGCGGAGACACGAGCGGTTCCGCCCAAGTCACGGCTCAGCATCCCCTGACTAAGTCCGGACGAGTTAAACTGGTGTGTTAGGGGAGTCCAAGGACGCAGGATTGGCCTCCCAACTTTCACAACCTACTGTTCGTTGGCCTAACAAAGGCGTTTCAGAGCTGTTTACACTGCTTTTTGTAACGGCTTTTTCACGGATTGTTCACAACCTTCACCAGTTAAACTGGTGCGTGGACCCACCGGAGCAAGTGATAGGATTCGTCCGAAGCCGGCAAGTGATAGTCACCCAGTGATCCTCTAAGCACTTCGACAACGTTTGGCAACAAAACGTGTTGAGATTGATGAACTATGTCCCTGGCCCAGACAATTCGCAGATGAACCCCTGTCATTCCCCGGACTCCCGATCCGCCGGGGCCCCACCTGCCCCATCGTTGCAGGTCTTCAAGAAGTGGAGGAACCTGCAAGGCCACGGTCCCATCAGTGATGAGCATGGACAAAGGGACAGAGTCTGCGGCCGAGCCCTTGGAGCCTGTTCTCAATAGAAAATCCCACCTCAAAGTCTTCATGCGCCTCGATAGGTGAGGTGACTCACCAAGCTCGCTTGCTACGTGTTCTTTTTTGTATTCTTCAAGGCGACCGATTCTGCATTGGGGCGACTGGGTGACCAGAAGATGTGCGAGAAAATGTTCACAGCTTGGTCTGGCCACTTCTTTTTTATTTGTTTTCGATTGATCCTGATTGATCTCCTGCAGCCTCCGCAGAGATGTCTGGCCTCCAAAGGGATGTCTTTGAGCTTGGAGACTTCGGCCAGAAGACGGCCAGAAAAGACACAATCCTGGCCGCAAGAAGAGAGTCTGAAAGGTGAGTGGTCCGTTGAGCTTCATGATCCAACTCTTTCGGAAGAATCTGAAGTCATTGGATTTGGAAAAGATATGGCCCATTTGCAAGGGTACTTCACGGAGTAGTTGAGTAGTGCTCCTCGTGCTCTTCCGAGAGAGTCTTCAAGCGCCCCAAGAGGTTCATCAATGCCTCACCTGTGAAGGGCCCAGCGGACTCGGCTGCAGGGTGTGTTCGGCCGGTGGATGGAACTGGTCAAAGCTTCATCAAATGAGACTCGGCACAACACAGTTGTGACTGTTTAATGCCGATGGCACATGCCCCTGATATGAAAGGTATGAAAGAAAATTCCCTTGAATGCCGAAGTATGTGGCCCCTCGAATAGAGACCAACATGCATGTGGGGACATTCATTGCTCTATACATATAATATATATATATATATATCCATGGTGGACTAGGCAGGGCGAGTTGCCAGCTTTGTTTTCCTTTCACCTCAATAGTCAATAGCCAAAGACTGAGATGCAACGCTGGCTGTTGTTGTCAAAGTCTCCTCCTAAAGCACCGAGTGACGCAAGCCGCGCAGCTGCGCTAGAAGGGAGGCGCAAAACCACATCTGGTCCTGTCAGTGCTGATCAGCTGAACCAAGAACCATTTGAATGTTTTCTAGTAGCAAGAAGCTACGCACGGTGGAGGCCATCGCTACTAGTAACACTAAAGCTTTCTAGTAGTGCCGTTCATACTGCCGTTCATACTGCCGTTTATCTGAGATATCCCCTCGGTGCAGGGTCTCTTCTGTCCGATCCTGAAAGATAAAGAGGCAACTTCTGCCAATCACGGAAGTTCCACGGCTTGTACAGGTCACCATCAAAATAAATCGAACTGTTCGGCCAAGAGCAGTCTGACCGGGGGAGACGGTGTTTGTTGTTTTGGCCTCTCCAAAGACAAACTTCACCCTGGTGTCATGGCCAACTGCAAGGCTCCTGTTGAAGCTGCACTTTCGCATTGAAGACCTGGCAAGTCGAAAAAGAAGGGGCATGAGTCATGAGTCATTGGTGAAGAAAGATCACAATCGCAGTCCCTCCACCATCGACCGGATTTGGGGCGATGTCAATGACCGCGGAAGCAACATGGCAAGTCTCTATCTGCATCGAAACTCCTGGAAAGGCAAAAGCAGGAAAACCACTGTCTGTCGGGCCATACACAGTTCAAAAGCCGTACAAGCTCGCAACAAAGGTTTTGAGAGGAGACCAAACCACTATCCGAGCGTGAACTGTCCAGAGTTGTTGAACATGTCTAAAAGTTGCTGAGCGCTCCAGCTTGGTCCTGTTGGTACAACGGACAACACATGCGAGCCCAAAGGATGCTGAAGGATGTCGTTTCATGTTTGACCAAAGGGTCGCGCTTTGAATATCCTATTGTTTAAGACACATTGTCAAGAGAGTGTAATGATCTTTGATTTGCATGTGTGTTAAAGTTGGGACAGCTCCCAAGAACCCCCTTGAAGAAGGAAACAGACTCAGACCAAAACCCATTTTTCTTGGGAGTCTCCTATGAAAAGATTGATCTGGACGGACAGGGGATCATCTGCACACACAGATCAGGATCATCTGCGCACACAGCCAGGATCATTTGTGCACACAGATCTGGATCATCTGCGCACACAAATCTGGATCATCTGCATGCACAGGGCACATGGGGTGGGGTGGGGTGGGGTGGGGTGGGGTGGGGTGGGGTGGGGTGGGTGGAGCTAATGACGCTCACTTCGACTAGCATTCGTATCTAATATCCCAATGTTGAAGTAAGGGTGCGGTGGTGGGGTGGGGTGGGGCGGGGAGGGGTGGGGCTCACACACATCTGATCACCCTGGATCAACACCCGGCCTTTGCACCTACCGTAAGAACCCAAAGTATGGCCACACTGTTTAGGCACCCGCATACGGAAGCCGCGTGTACAGACGATCCCCGTCACCGCGTGTACAGAGGATCTGATTTCCGCGTGTACAGACGAACCCCTGTCCATCTGGACCCATCGTCCGTTGTCTATGGGTCTCCTTTTGGCACAACCGGACCACGCGTCCATTTCACCACCGTTCTCCGGCCTCGCGGCCATGCTCCAGCAACTGGCGAGCAGTGGTGGACAAAGTCTGGAGTTCACGCTCCTCCTTGTCCTCTGAGATCGTCGTATTTTTCGGTACGTTTTTGCAGGTTGCGAAAGCAAAGCAGGCAAGTGTCCAAAGTAGCAAAAGCCGTGAGAAGACCTTGCAGTAAATCGCTTCCACTTCGCTACAAATCTGGCAATCGCACACTCTTTTTAATCAGTATGAATTCCTCAAGGACAGCTTGACACAAAGGAACATGTTCTGGGCTCTGTGGAGGCCATCGCTTCTAGGTTGGAGCCCATCGCTCTGGGGTTGGAGCCCATCGCTCTTAGGTTGGATGCCATCGTTCCCTGGATAGAGCCCATCGCTCTTTGGGTTGGAGCCCATCGCTCTTGGCTAGGAGCCCATCCCTATTAGGTTGGAGGCCATCGCTACCATCGCCCTTAGGATGGAGGCCATTGCTCTTAGGTTGGAGCCCATCACTGATAGGTTGGAGGCCATCGTTTCTAGGATACCGGAGAGTGTGATTCAAAAACTCCGTCACTTCAAGGACACAGTCCTCCTCCGCGCCAGCTATCTTCCTGGAAGCTCTGCTGGGAACGTTTGCGCTACATATTTGACTGGACGTGGCTCTTCCACACTGGTCCTGATTTGTATCCCACATGTCTACCCATTCATGGTGAGGAACGAAAATCACATTGAAACCTTTGTAGGCCTCACCCAAGCTCCAGGAAAGTTTGGCTCTCTGGCCGCGAAATTTCACATTGTCTTCAAACTTCCAAACATGTCCAACAGGCAGCTCGGTGGGCATCCGTCTGGGCTGCCCCCACTTGCGCTTCGCCCGGAGTGGGTCGCCCAAGAGCTTTTGGGCATTCTTTAGGGTGCTCTCCAAGCGCTTGAGCTGGTCGAGTCCTGAAACATGGCTCGAGATGAGACAAGCCATCTCTAGCCAAGGCTTGGGTGTTTGTGCTTCAGTCGACCAGGACCAATGAAAGCTTTGAAAATCTGAGATCAAGAAATTAGCATTGCACAGGTCCGGTAGAAGAAGTCTTGCATATCAGATGCCAGAAGCTTCTCGCTCGATGCACGAATGCTTTCACAGGTGCCCTGCGTTCCCAAAGGAGTTTTCGAGAAGTACCTCTGGACAGCCTGCTTCTCCGCGAAAACGGGCGCCTCGAAGGTTGGTTGAGATGATCAGCCACAGGCGTCGAAGATGCAAATGGCAATCCTTTGCAGCTGAATGCAGCTGAAAACTGCTAGCTGTCGAATGTTACATTCAAAACACATTACCCTAAGAATCAAGGACCCTCAAAGGTGAAGGTTTTGAGGATCCAAACCCCTGCTATGCAGGAGGGTTCAAAGATTCTTAGGGTGATATGAAATGCCTTTTGGCCACGGCCTGTCGGGCACTCAATCAGTGATCGGGCGCCCGATCGGAGGACCGTCACTCTGTTGCTGTGTGGACTTCAGATGGACCAATGAAAACAGCCACCAGACAAACCACCAATCAATCAAAAGGGTGTCAGCCTGTTTTCATCTTTCACAGAAAGGTGCTGTCTTCAAAACCTGCCAGCTGTCCCCGTTTGGTCAGATGCAGAGTGTATATAATTACATTCTCCGGACTGACTTTCTGGATGTGCAATAAGTCGGGTCTTCCTATTCTAATCCAGGTTCATTTCGGGTTCTCGAGCATTGCACTTTAGGCCGCGAATTCCAGCTATGCCCGGTCCTGCCAAAAGTGTGCGATTCCAAGTTCACCCTGGCGATTCCAACATCGGATCAGGATCCGTGGTCACTCCAGTCATTGCATTCCTTGCACCAAAAGAACAACAAAAACAACCAGGATTGCCTCAATCACTGGGACACCCTCATCCGTCAGCGCATCGGGTGGAACGGCCTGGCGTTTTGGAACACCAGCTTGAAATCGGGAGAACTGAATCGCTTCTCCGCTGAAATGTCAGTCTGAGGAATCTCTCCGAAAAAAACTAAAAGGTCATCTTGAGCAAAGCGGCACGCTTTGTAAGTCTGTAGGAAGGACCTTCAAGTCTGACCTGTGGCAGTGCCTCGAAGATCTTCTTGGCATCAATCCACAATTTCCGCCAGGCACTTTCCCAACGGTCATATGGGACGTTTTGGACCTGCACACAAGGTCGACTTAAGCGCTGACGCAAGCGATACTATGAAACCGTTTCTGGAGGCGATACGATGTCCACAACATGGCCGACTTTTCTCTTGCAGATTCCTTTCGTGATTGGTCTGGGATAGGCTGGAAGGTTTGTTCATGCATTCGATTGTTGAGTGTCTGCAGCGCTCTATGAGTAGATGCAAAAGCCGACTAACCATGCAAGCTTACCTCCACATCAAAACTCCACAGGGAACAGGAATGCTTTCTTTCACTACCTTTCTGTCCTCTGGAAAGGGCTACCAAAGACTCTTTACGACGAAAACACCAGGTGCGCCTCCCACCGCACACCCGGTGCCGCCGCCCAAGTCCATGGTGGCCGTCCTGAGGAAGTCGGATCTTGGTTTTTCGGTTTCTAATAGCTTGTTGTTACTACTAGTAAGGCACTTGGTACTAGTAGCGATGCACTTGTTCCTAGTAGCTTCTTGTTAAAGATCAATCCTGAACTGATCAGATTTTGGATCGGATTCACGCCCCAAGGTAAATCTGGTGCCAGGAGAGGCCCGGGCCTCTGATGCCTGTCTCTTTGCGCTCTATTTTTGACTGGGGTTACAATGGCCAGGAGAGGCCAATTTGAGAAAAATGATCCAGATTGAACAAGTGGAGAAGCTCCCTTAGTTCTGCCAGTGCATTCACCCCCATGCCCACGTCACTCTCCCCCTTGGCTTGGGCCTTCAGGGGCTTCCAGCCGAAGCGGCCCTGTCAAGTGACACTTAAGAACTGGATTTCTTCAGAAAGCTGTCATGTGTTATTTTCATTCAAGCGATGTTGGGGCACTGTGGCACTTCAGTAGACTTTCAACAGCCAGAGGATGGAACTGGTGCGACCATGGTGTATCTATTTCTATGTCCAGCTTTGAGCCTTCAAACCATCTCCCTTTCGACTCCAGTTGCAAGCACAACGACTAGGAATCAGACTCTCTCTCCCAAGTGACCATGGAATGAGAAACTCTCTCCGATAAGTCTTTTCCGTGCCATCGCCCGAAGCATCCGTGTATGCTCCGATGATTCTTCCAGGTGAAGAGCAGTTCCCACCGTTCCCACCTCGTGCGGTCGGAGCTTCCAGTGACTGGCGGCCTGAAGCCGCAAAGCTCAAAAGGTTCAAGAAGTTTTGAAGCCTAGGAGCAAGGATGCTACTAGGGGCTCCTGGCCTTACTACTAGGAGCAAGGAAGCTACTAGGAACAAAGGGCATCGCTACTAGCAGCAAGGATGCTACTAGGGGCTCCTGGCCTTACTACTAGGAGCAAGGAAGCTACTAGGAACAAAGGGCATCGCTACTAGCAGCAAGGGCTCCTGGCCTTACTACTAGGAGCAAGGAAGCTACTAGGAACAAAGGGCAGCGCTACTAGGAGCAAGGACGCTACTACGGGCTCCTGGCCTTACTACTAGGAACAACGACGCTGCTAGTAACAAAGGGCATCGCTACTAGCAGCAAGGAC